CAGTATAGTGGATTGGATCAAGGTAATCTGTAAAGCACAATATCTTTCGTTCACCATCTTCTGAAGAGTAACGTGATGGTTGACCTGATCTTGCTGAGTAAGGTCGTTGAAGAACGACAGCTGCCTTGCCCAATCCACTATACTGTACAGAAAGTTCGTGCCGATATCCCTAGCCGGGAAGCAGGTTGGCAAAGTGGTTTTGTCTGGAAGGAGCAACATGATACTTGACCGCACAGTCCATGGTAGTCATCTGGGCGGAGACATCTAACTATTCTGCATTCTGGCACGCATTCCCCTTCTACGTAGGAGGAAGCTGTTTCACCAAGAAGGAAGGCACAATGATTTGATGCTCCGCCCGCTACAATGATTCTGCTTCTGTCTTTAAGGAAGCGAACGAAAGGTCACCTGGTTCGATTAGGCGAGACACAGTTTCAGTTGTGTTGGCAAAGTTCATCATGAGCGGATGGAAGAATGGGAGAGGCGGTCGTGGCATGAACGGTGATGGGAAGAGATAGCTGAGAAATGGTGGTCCATTGTGTAGCCTTCCACGTTGAACTGCTAAATTATTGGACTCATAAACATATAGCGATTTGGACCGCGGCTGCGATCGACGGCTGACCCGCAGCAGATGGGTCAAAAATTCACTAACGTAAAAGTGCCCCCTTGCAGAAGCTCACAGAATGTCTTCATGAAGCGGTGGAACACTTTATTTTGTGGAACACTTCATTTTATGTTCTGGCCCTCTTGAGTGTTTCTTCTCATGACCAATCTCGCTTCACTTCAATAGGCCTTGACAACATGTGAAATATGGCTTTACCACTGGAAAGAGGCAGAATTGCCACCGGGAAGAGGCAGAGTCTTCGGAAATCTGAGGCAGACTGTACACTTGCTCGGAAGACGGTTCCTGGTATGAGCGAGGCAAACGGGACCGCGGTTATAGTAGCGTGCCACGTTCTATGGCCAAAAATTCACGGGAGAAGTGCTGTAGGGTAGTGCTACCCGAGTGCCGTCTCCATACTTCACCCGAGCTATCTTCAAGGTGCAACACTTGCGTCGATACTAAAGTCCCACAGCCAACTACGAAACAATCTGAGTGGAGAACAATGAGAAGTGAGTCAGTGGAGACGGGTAGCGCATTTCGTTTTAGATATGTAGGTGTGTGAGGCGTGCGGCAGCGCGGGAACAGTATGGAGACTCCACTCGGGTACTCCAACCCTCTTGCGTTTTTGACCGGCGAAAGTGGTGTGGTACGGCAGCTGCAGAACCATTCACCTCCCATAAAAACGGCAAAGTTCAGGATCCGCGAAGGTGTGTGTACAGTTTATCCTTCAGAAGCGAAACACGAGCGATACTTGAGTCCATCCTTCACCCGGAATCCAAGTATGTCGGTCCAGCAGTTCCTTGGGTCCTCGACTGAACATCTATTTGGAATAGAAGGACGCTATCGTACCCACAGGGCACAGTATCGTTAGGCTAACCCCACTTCTAGTTGTCAGCGGCGCAAAACTACTTTATAGCCTACATTTTTGATAGTTGGTTCTGATAAGCGACTGAATGATTGGAGATCCATCCCCCCACTCCCTACTCGACACAAAATTGGAACTTATTTGGAAGAATTTAGTAAGGTGGTAGTTACGTTTTGAAGGGGGATCGACCTAAAAAGTAGATTTTTGGGGGAAGAGTGGGTCGTTCTTTGCTTGGCCGTACATTTCACAGATTCCAACGCGGTAGCCTATGTGGACCATGACATTGAGAGTCCTCTTGATGGAGCAAAAAGATAAAAGACAAAAGTGCAGTTTCGTTAACGGCTTGAGGTACATCTCACACATCAGATATGCCATTTGGACCCCACGCCCCCTCACCAGTGGCAGAATGCAGCCCTCCAACTAATGGGATTCACTTAACGGCGATGTACGCTGTTCAGAAGTGAGAGCCACATTCTGGCATAAGCATCATTGTGACTTTTTAGAAACTTACCTTCCCTTCTCATACCCATTTTGACGCACTTCTTCAGTCGACAGAATTGGCACTGATTTCTGTGGTTCACGTCAACGGGGCAAGTTCTTCGAACCTCGACATGTGTACGAAAGTGAACGTCTGATGGACCTAAAGTCGCTTGTTTAGCCCAGTGTCAAATGAGCCCACCATTCTACTATAAACTGGATCTACGACTAACCGCTTGAAGAAGCTCTTACAGCCCTCGCACGAGAACTGTCCATAATGTTTGCCGCTGGATTTGTCACCGCACACCACACAGTCAGCCACGATTCCATCCGAGTTCGATGATGATGCCGGTGGTGACGGAGAGGTCTGGAATACGGTAAGTCAGAGTCATAAGTTTGGTAGGTGTGAAAGTGCGAGAGCGTGGTGGTGATCAAATGGGGCATCATCATGTGCTCGTCAATAGCACTGGGTTTCGCTCCCTCTAAATCACTGGTGGTAAATGCGGTCGTGGGAGCCCATAATCTTTCTTTGCGATCTCTCAAACGATGCCTGGCCTCGGCGGAAAAACGCGAACGCACGCGGGCGCAAGAGCAGCGCAGTCGCGCTCCTCAATCCCATTTATTATGAGTAATTCGCACATCTGATTAGAATAAAACGCCGGCTATCCAGATGACAGCTGACATTGTCGGATGGGCGAACATTGCCCCGAGATCGACAAGGGGCGATCGTGGCTCACAGTGGGGTTACTGGATTAAAATCTGCTAAAAGGGGAGAACCCGTCTCGCTCAGGATATTAGGGTATACCCTCGATGACTTCTTGGAATATGCTAAAGACTGTTGCTTTTGAATTCGCCCCCTAACAAAATGTTAATTTATTTGGAAAACAGAAACCAGCTTTGTTGAAACCAGCGAAAATATGATTTTCTGGGCAGCTGGGCCCTAATAGTGGGCACTAGGCTTGGCTGAAAACACTGGGTGAGCTTTTGATCCCATATGCTGAATCATTCTCTGAAGACATGGCTGTTATTCGAGGCTTGATACCCATGGGCCTGATTTTGGCTAGACATCCTCAACTGTTACGCTTATAAGAATGAGATGGCAACTTCTTATGAGGCTTCTGAAGCGTCATCTCTTTTTAGTTTTAGAGTCCTTAGAATGTCTGAAAGAGTGGGCACTTGCCTGCACGGCTTCAATTTTGACTAGCAACCCACTCAGGCCTATGCGGAAGAGAGTCATCGGAAGAGGCCTCTTCTCAAGTGGCCTTAGGTAAAAGGTGAGCGTTACTGAACGCTTTTATCCTGAAAAGTGATTCTCAAACTCTTAGTTAGCAATGCTTTGAGACGGCCAGTGGAACAAGGTTACATGACGTGAGGGTCTTCAATTGTTTCAAAAACAGGTAAACACCCGGACCATAAAAACGTGGATTCATTTTTTCCTGCCTACGTCTGGGAATGTCAAAAATGAATGGAAAACAAGATTAGGCTGATGGTTGTGAAATCCACACGGTGACAAAATTTAGCGGAACTTTATTTGAGAGTTTTGATCATGATTCGCTTGCAACGGATTTAGCTCCTTCAGCGTTCAGTTCAATATTTGGTGGACGAGGGGGGGGGGTTGTGAATCTCTTCACAGCTACAGAACACAAACAATTCAACACGTCACGCGCCTAGTATGGCAACACTTTAACTGCACGGGGGAACCGAGACGAAATCGCTTCCGAAGTTGTGGATTCAAGTTACTGTTGTAATGCAGTATGAACAACTCAGAGACACGAAGTGCACGTGAATTTAAAGGCTTCCATCAAGTCCGAAGCAATATGAAGTCAAGAGGATCGAATTGGAACTGTAGTGGGAAATGAGCTGCGTATTTCCCTGAACCGGAGTTATCACAGCTGCCCGAAAGGCCAATCTGCCATATTCTCAAATCTGCTGACAATCATTCCACTCACGATAGGAGAAGTAGGACGTCGTAAGGAACCTTACGCAGATCACTGGCTCAAGAAGTGGTAGGACCTCATGAGTCCCTTCATCAGCGCAGTTCGGCTTGGTAGGAGCACAAAATAGGGTCTTAATTTAATCAGGAGGTCATCAATCTGGGTTCATAACCATTAGAATTACCGTGATTACAGAAATGAGGAGTTCCTTATCAACTCAATTCTGTATAAAAAGAACTTTGCAAGCTCTCTTGACTCGTTGATAAATCGTCCTGCGAGGGTTTGCACGGGTTGTATGAAGCATTAAAAATTATGAGTCTACTATGTCGTCAGCTTCAAAGGAAAAGAGCTAAAAAGCTTCCGATACATCAAAAGCCTGAGGATCTCAGTACTGAGCCAATTGGCGCTGTGGCAAAATTATGCCAAGGGATAGGCAAACAAAAGAGGTTTCGAGTTCCTAGCGACTCTGTATGGACTTCGTAGGACGTGTAAAGTTGAGAAGATAAGGAACTTTCAGTTGTGACTCAGAGAGCAACTAAAAGCTCACAATTATAGACAACTCGCTTCGAAAACACCTAAGTGAAGACGTTCAGAGGTAAAGCACCCAGGAACCTTCCTACAGGGCGCAAGGGAAGTCTAAGTGCTCCTAAAAGGTCATTCTCGAAAAACTGATGAACAAAGCCGAACAAATCCTCACTTCAGAAAGGATGTCAATCGTCGGGCTATGCGTCCTCATTGGCCACAGACGATTCACTGCATTCGTCGAGGTTGCCTTCTGCTGCTCGTCGTCGTCGCTTTTCATCGTCATCGTCGTCTTCAATGCCGTCGTCGTCACTGCGGCAGCTACGGTACCACTTAAGGTCTCGAGAGCGCGACCGGGTGTCACCAATGGAATCAGCACGATGGGGCGGGGCGGCTGCCACTAAGCCGCGGGGCTCCATTGACTACGGTAGTCGGCCGCCAAGAGGCTGTAAATACGGGCGAAGAACATACCCGCAGATGCAGTAGTGAATGGGTGATGCAGGAAAAAAGCGCCCGAAAGAGAGAAAGATAACGACTGAGAGCTCGAGCCTTATTACTTCATCGTCATTACGGCATTTCGCCATTCGTTTCGTGGGATAATCGTCCCACTCGGGGCATCCACCCACGTTTGTACGTCAGGGATCTCTTTCACCCAACTCTCGTCACTGCGGAAAACGAGATTTTGGAAGTGAGGCTCTTTGTCTCAGCCGAGCTTTACTGAACTCCATCGCTGCTAACAGTTCAACTTGAGGAGCATGACCAAACCTCAATTAGGTTCTCCTTGTTTGAGAACAAAATCGCAAAATGGCAAGCCATATTCGGTAAAAGTCAGCCAAAGCTCTTGAAATTGAATCATTCCGGTGGTCCGCTAATGAGCACCGTTGCGGACGACACAAAAGCCGTTGTGTCGTTGCAGTTCCACTTAAGAAAACGAAGAGGTGCTCCGAGGGTAGTGCTGAAGTGGAAAACAGATTTCGGTTGAAGGGCTTTTCAAGTCTGCCACGAATCATATCGACGAATGTGGTTCATAAATCTTCTCATGTTGAAATTGTCTGACAATTCTCATAGTGCACTCATAGTGATTGAGCAGCAGGTCTGAATCACTGACTAAGAAACTGTAAAATGTTACGAATAGGGCCATATTTTCCACTTGGGAAAGCTTTAAGAAAGTTTTTCTCTGGGATTGACTCCCGGGTGGCGTTTAATAGAAGGCAATATGCGATTGTTCGCCTCTGTCAGCTGCGATAGGAACTCATTACACAGGTTAATGTCCTTTGTACAGCTCTGCGCTTGGTAAGGGAGAGTGCATGGCGCATCCTGAAAAAGGACTGACTGAGCGCATTTTCTTTCTATGGTTCATTCTCACGATTGCTGCGAATTAATTGTGGCTTCTTCTTACAACCGGTATAAGTCCATTAATACTAGTTAGCAGTTTGTCCAGCTGCAGACCTCGGCAGCTCCAACCTTATGTTAGACGGGGTGCGTAGCAAGGCCTTCGATCAGGTCGTCCAACT